TCATGTTAGCTCAGGAATTCTGGGAGTTGAAGTCCACCAGTCTTAAATTTGCCAATTTGGAGACCCCTGGCCTAAGGGGTTAAGGCACTGGGCTAGCAACCGGGAGACTGTGAGTTCTAGTTCTGCTTCAGCTGTGGAAGCAGGCTTGGGTGGCTATGGTCCAATCACCAGGAGATGGTGAGTTCTAGTTCCTCCACAGGCATTAAAGGGTGCCCTTGGGACAAGTCACCCAGAGGTTGAGAGCTCCAGGTCTACCTTATGTTCTATCTATGTTAATGCCACTTTATAACACCTCTGGAAGGCCACACTTGGAAATACATCCAGTTTTGGTCACCACGATGTTAAAAAAAAGAGTGTTGAGACTCTAGAAAGAGTGCAGAGAAGAGCAACAAAGAGGATGAGGGGACTGGAGGCTAAAACATATAAAAACGGTTGCTGGAATTGGGTTTGTCTAGTTTGATGTAAAGAAGGACTAGGGGGGACATGATAGCAGTCTTCCAATATCTCAGGGGGCTGCCCCAAAGAAGAGGCAGTCAAGCTATTTTCCAAAGCACCAGAAGGCAGGACAAGAAGCAACGGGTGGAATCTAACCAAGGAGAGAAGCAACTTAGAACCAAGGAGGAATTTCCTGGTCAATATTAATTTTTAGCTAGGGCTAATCGATTTCTAACATTTCATCCAGAAACTAAGAAGCTATGTTCTGAATTTATTTCAGTGGTGTCACTCAAAGAATCCAGGGGATTGGCAGGGGATTTTTAAAACAATGCAGGCAGTCCTCGACTTACAACAGTTCATTTAGTGACCTTTCAAAGTGACGAAGGCACTGATCATCATGATTTATGACCGTTTTTCAGCCTTTACGACAGTTGCAGCGTTCCCTTGGTGACGTGATCAAAATTCAGGCTCTTGCCAATGGGTTCATATTTATGATGGTCCCGAGGACATGTCATCTCCTTTTGCGACTTTCTGACCCGCCAAGTCCATGGGAGAAATCCAGATTCACTTAACAACCTGGTTACTAAACAAATGCAGCTGTGCCCTTAACGATGGCGGCGAGAAAAGTCGCAAAAATGGGACAAAACTCACTTAAACCAACGTCTCGCTTTCGCAGCATAAATTTTGGGGGCTCTGCTGTGGTCGTAACACGAGGACTACCGGTACACAAGACAATGGACTCTTAATTCGTACTCCGTCACAAGATCAAACGTCTCCCTCTTCTTTTCTTTTCTTTTTTTCCTTTGGGCCTCTAGGAAGAGAGAGTGCTGAGGGACCGGAATTTCCCGCAAGCTCCGGACGAAAATCGCCCCATTGCCTGGAAAGTCCACTTCAGCTTGGGGAATAGCAGCCAGCCGAATAACCAGTGTCGGAACTCTGTCCAAGGAAAGTTGTTGATCACGGATGAGCTGGGTAAGGTGGGAAGGCGAAGGAAGGCAAATCGATGTGTCCCAGGATAATAAACCTCTGTAGGGTTTGCCAATTGCACCGGGGCAGATAGGACAGCACTCCAGAGGGTGAATGTCATTGCCCAGGGGATCATGGGTTGCCCTCTCCCCTCTTTGGAAGAGCTTTATAGCGCCCGCTGCCTTAAGAAAGTTCAAAATATCCTCAAAGATCCATCTCATCCTGGGAATCCTTTTTTTTTTGAACTATTACCACCTGGCAGACAGTACAGGATAAGAAAAACAAGGACAAATAGGCTGAACAGCTTCTATCCCAGGGCAGGAGCTCTTTTGAGTTCTACTGTATAGTGCAGTGTTGGGGGTTTTCGGTTCAATGTGTGGAGGGTGAAGGATGTGTGTTTGTGTTTATTTTCATGGTCATGAAGTGCACTGAAGATGGTGTTTGATTTCGTTGTACTATTATTGCAGGGGCGGGATTCAAAAATCCCAGCAACCAGTTCGCTGCCCGGTTTTTGGGTGGGTGGGGCTGGCCAGAACTTCCCATTTCTGGCTTCCAGTGGGCCTCCAGGGCCTGGGAGAGGCCATATTTTTTTGTCCTCCCAAAGGTCTCACCTTGAGCCTGGTGAGATTCGAACTGCCGAATTGCAGGCAGCAGAAGTAAGCTGCAGTACTGCTTTCTAACCCCTGCGCTACCATAAATGAACAATTTAATTGATAATCCCATGACGGCCAATGAAAATGACCACGCATCTGAGCCTTTACCAAAAACTCAAATAACCGATTCCTTTGGAATCTGTGAAAGCCGCTTTGAGTTGGGTGGAATCAGTTTTCAGCCCAACATTTTGGTTTCTGTGCTGTGGCGCAGAGCCTTCCTTTGTCCTTCTGCTCAGCCTCACCTGGAGGTCTTTTGCCACAGGCTACATCTGCGAAAGGAAGGACCTGCTGGTGAATGGGTGTTGCAACGTGGAGGCGCCCAGTGTCAAGTTGTACAGCTGCGACAGCTGCCTGCCCAGCGGCTGTTGCAGTGTCTATGAGGCCTGTGTGTCCTGCTGCTTACAGCCCAACAAGGTAAGGGCATGCATGAAGGACCTTGGGAGAGGAAGGGAAGAGTTGCAATTGGCAAAAAACATCATAAATTATGGTCATAGGACCTCAGGGTTCTATCAATGTGGTGTGGTGGCCAAACGGCCAAAATTCAGCCACATGACCATGGAGAAGGCCAGGACATCAGAACTTTGAAACCAGGATGTCAGCCCATAAAACATTCCTATGCCTGTTTTAGTAGCTGCCATAAAAAAAGGTGGGGGGGAGGAAAGAAACCTGGAAGAGCAGTGCAGCAGTTTGGAAACGAAAGCGCATTCCGACTCTTATCTTTAAAAGATTGTAACTAAAATACCAGAGCTTTTGCCCGTGAATATATTTAATTGGAGAATGTGAATGATGACACCCAGCCTGTGAACATGCTCAACTGGAGAATCCGATTTATGACACACCCGGGGAGGGGGTGGGGGAAACAGGGTCACAGGGGACTGTAAATGACGTATGCCAGAGTTGGCTTCATCCAGAGCAGTGCCAGTAGGTCGCCTCTAATAAATCCTTTGAAGTTTTTTGAAGTTTGGCTCAAGAATCATGATATAATTAGAACTGGAATCCTGACACAGGACATAGAGTCTATACAGTCACACCTTGGTACTCAACTGCTTTAAAACTTGCCGCAATTTGACATGAAAATTTTGTCCCGCTACTCGTCATTTGTTTGGTACTTGACACTGGAAGAAGCAAAGCTTAAAACTTGTTAGTGTGGGCTGTCTCAGGACTCACGACCCTTTCTGGCCAAAACAAAAGGTCAAGTGTTAAATCACATGGATTGCTTGGTACTTTGCTTTAGTAATTGTAGTCATCGTGCTTCCCGGAAACAATTAACGACGAGTATCCAAGTACCGTTGTATTTCCTGGGAGATGATTGGCTGATTCATGTCGTAGGGAGAGGAGAGAAATGAAATCCTTCTCCATTGGGCACTTCTGGTTTTTGTGAGCTTCCTGTTCTTTTTCCCCCACTTCTTGCCTTTATAGCAACAGCTCCTCGAGCATTTTCTGAACCGAGCGGCAGTGGCCTTCCAGAATCTCTTCACGGCTGTGGAAGATCACTTTGAGCTCTGCCTAGCCAAGTGCAGGACCTCCTCCCAGGTAAGAAAAGGGAAGCTCTGTGGCGGCTCCATCAATGGAGGTTTTCAAGAAGAGATTGGACAGCCATTTGTCTGAAATGGTGTAGAGCAGATCTGGGCATCGTAGGGCCATTGGACCATATCTGGCCCTTTGGGACTCCTTGTCTCACCTGTGTGAATACAATCAGAAATCAAATGTAAATTAAGGGCATGCCATGTGATTCTACATGTATTCTTACTGGTAGCAGCTTATCAAAATCCTATAATTTATAGCTTTTTCTAAAGTGATAATTCCTTCTCCTTTTTGTTCATCTTCTCCTCCTCCTCCTTCCTCTTCCCCCTCTTCCTCTTTTTTCTTTCTCTTCCTCCCTCCTTCTTTTTTCTCCTCCTCCTTCCTCCTCCCTCCTCCTTCACCACCACCACCTCCACCTCTTTCAAAAGACAACTGGACTGTTGTTTTCCCTGAGAAAAAAGATGTTTCGCTTGTCATCCAAGAAGCTTCATTGTTTTGGCAAGATGGTGGAAGGATGTTTCCCAGAGCTTAAAAAATGTCCCATCCCCCTTTGCCTGAGTAATAGTTCTTGCAGGCTTCTTTCACCGTCACCTTCCTTGCTCTCTGTAACTGCACCTTTTTTCAATGTGTCCACACCAAGTGGCCCTGAAGCTAAGCCTTCCTGTCTACAAAGACCAAACAACGGGGCTCAACCTTCCCTGTGGCAATTCCTAGGGATCAATTTCTCCGACTGGTCTAAACCTTCCTTCTTTTGTCTTTCTTTCCTTCCCCAGAGTGTGCAGCATGAAAACACCTACCGCAACCCCATTGCAAAATACTGCTATGGGGAATTCCCCCCAGATCTCCTGTCTGTGTGAAAGTGCCCGAGAAACTGACAAAATTAGACTTGCAGCATGGCTGGTTGGGTTCCTTTGGCAGCCCTCCAACTTCACCTTCTGAATTGTTTTAGCTTGCTGCCCTTTCCCTGCAGCCTGCGGTGTGGAGCAAAATGGGTGGAAATCTACTAACAGCTGGATTCAAAGGTTTGCGTCATGGGCTCGGGTGAGATTTGGACATAGACCTTAATTTCCTAATCGATCTGAGTCACAGGGGACCACCGGTAGGTGGAGAAAGACACCAGGATAGCCAATTGCAGGCAGGCATTTGTGTTCTTGGTGGAAACTGCTGGAGAAAAATTATTCAAGCAATGAGAAGATATTCGGAGTGATGCAGCTAGAGGGGGAGCTCTCTCCTCAGATTTGGGAGGCTGTGAGTTCGATCCTAGGTAAGAGGCAGATATTTCTCTCTCTGGGCACACTGGGAATATATCTGCTGAACAAAACTCTGCATTGGTGCCAGGAAAGGCATCCGGCCATTAAAATACTCTGCTAGCTCCATTCAGTTGCCCACAAGGGATGATGGAGTTGTTAAAAGAAGGTGATGAATGAGAAGATGCTTGCATTAGACCAACAGGTTTTTGTGCATCCTGCACAATGCTTCTATTGACTCCCACCTAAGGTAAAGACGACAAAGCACTAAGATGGCTGGTTGGGGAATTCTGGGAGTCGAAGCCCACAAGTCGTGAAATGGCCAAGGTTGGAGAGCCCTGGCTTAGCTGAACTTTCTGCAGCTTGGTCTTCCCAGATGTGTTGAGCAACGTTCCTCTCAACAATCCTTGCAAGATTCCAGTCTGGGAAAAGGATAGAAGGGGAAATTGAAGAGTGAGGCACTGTGTTCTTGATGAACGTATCCCAGAATAGAGTTCTGGATTCATTGGAGAAGAGAAGGAAACACGTTCTCTCCTTAGATAAAAGTTTAACATCCGCGGCGAACTGGTTGCCTTGATCTCTGGCCTCCCATTTCTAAGATTTGCTGTCAATTCCCTGAAAGAAGCAGCCATTTTAGTAACGGGGTGACGATATGCAATCATGTTCTCCTCAGTTCTGATTTTCCCAAGCTGAGGGCCTCTCCCTTGGGTCACAGTTCTCGTCATTCTCAATAGGTAATGGCGGTAAAATGGCACCGAGTGACCGCAGAGGCTGCAAAAGGCAGGTAAGATTAGGTTGCAAGAATTCTTTTGACGTCTGAGAAACACCGAAACTTAAATTTCAGCCGGGAGATTGGCTTTGCTTTCCTGGTTTTTCTGGCTTTCGACATTGCTTGGAATACCGGAGAAATCGAACATCTCGTTACGGGCAATGGGTCTCTGGGGAAAAGAGCTTTTAGAAAGATTAGATAGATTTGTGGAAAGAGAAAACTTGCGCCGGTAATTAATCATCATAGCGTTTTACTTTGAAGTAACAAGAGGGGTGTAAACTGTTAGTTCCATGCTTCTCTCTGTTTGGTCAGTCTAAAAAAAAAAAGGCACTGCATTGAAGCTGGTGGACAAAAGAACACCTCTCAAATTAAACAGTAGATGGAATTATTAGATTAAGGGAAAATGTGGTTTCTGGGTTGTAAATTGTAGTATGGATAGTCCTCAACTTTACGACTGCAATTGAACCCAGAGTTATTCTGTTAATCATCGCCGTCGTTAAAGAGTCACCATGTGACCGTGACCGATTTTATGACCTTTTTGCAGTGGTTGTTAAGCAGCTCCATTTTATCTGATGGGTGTTTTGGGAAACTGGAAAGTAAATGTTGGAAACGCACAACAAACACGTCGAAAATTGTGGTTGTGTGTTAGCTAAATGCCACAAATGACTGTATGATGAGCCAATTGCCAAGCACCCAAAATATGACCACATGACTATAAAGGGTAGGTGGGATGTGGGGGTCTTCAGAACTTAAAAAGCACCTTTCAGAGGGTCTGCTGTAACTTGAAACAGTTGCTAGGCAACCGGTTGCTAAGCGAGGACTGGCTGTAAGAGCATAAACGTCCAAGGACTACCTTGATGTGGAGGCTGAGCTGAACCTACCATGGCATCTACCAGAAGTTAGTTTGAATGTCTATCACTCCTTTTCATGTATTTAAAAGCAGTAAATGGACACTCCAAGGTTTCCCTGTCATTTTCCTGCCCTTTGTTGACCCTTTGGAACATTGTTTTGTGAACTTTTGCATTGGCCTAATAAAGGTATTGCCCGACAGGTGTACATGTAATTCTCCCGACATTTTTCTTCCAAAGCTCGTTCGTGAAATTCCAGTTTGGAGCAAGGCGAGCATAATAATTATATCGAACTTAAGCAGCAGATAGCGCTAGATTTGGCGAAATGGGAATATTTACAACTCATTAATAGGGAGAGTATCAACAATCAAGATGAATATGTTACCCAGAATTTTATATTTGTTTCAAACAATTCCAATTAGGCTTGGAAAAGACTACTTTGAAGATTTAAATAAAATTGTGTTGAAATATATATGGCAAGGTAAGAAAGCGAGAATAAAGTTAAAACTTTTGCAAGATGCTAGAATAAGAGGAGGATTTGTTTTGCCTAATTGGGAGTTGTATTACCAAGCTACAAATTTGATGTGGGTTAAGGAATGGATAACATTAAGAAATACTAGATTGTTGACATTAGAAGGAAGTGATCTATTGTTGGGGTGGAATGCTTTTCTATGGTATAAAGGAACCAAAACATGGGTATTTTAGAAGACATTATATACGGGAGTCTCTGTGGTTAAACTGGGAGAAGATTAAAAGACAATGTTATTTGAAAATTCCAGTCTGCCTATTGACTATTGAAGCATTTTCTTATCCTATAATATACAAAAAGGAAGTTAGATATGGTGAAATATTGAATGAAAAGGGTGAACTTAAATCTATACAAAAACTAGAGGAACAAGGTATAATGATGAATTGGTTTTCATATGCGCAAATACATTCAAGGTATGATAAAGATTCTAAAACAGAAGGTTTCTATGATAAACTGACTGACTTAGATAAGATTTTGACAGGTACTGATGAAAAGGTGATTAAAAATTGTATGGATATTTATTAGAAATTAAACTAGAAGAAGAACAAGTTAAAGAAACTACGATTGCTTGGGGGAAGAATTTTGGATATGGGATTGATTTAGAGAAATGGCAAAAATTGTGGTCTCAAAATTATAAAATGACAACGTCAACAGCATATAAAGAAAATTTGTATAAGATGTTTTACAGGTGGCATTTTCCCCCCACAAGAATAGCAAGAATGTTCAAGAATAAATCCGAAAAATGTTGGAAATGTCATCAGACACCTGGTGTCAGCCTTCGAGATCTTCCTCCTTTCCTTTGCTTCTTTCTGGCTGTCATGAGTAACGGGGTGTGTGTGGAAGGGGGAAATGTATGGGACGTGAGCTGTAAGTGTTACTAACTGATATTGTATAAACTGGAGAGGGTTTCTAATTCCTGCTTAGCTTTCTCTTCTCTGTACAACTGCAAACCTTTATCTGAGTAAGCCAAGGTCAACTAATCATCACCACCTGGAGATGTCCCCACGATGAAGTTCACAACTTTTAATTGGAAGAACCGTTTGAACTATTGGGGGTGGGAACATTTCGCTCCTTTGATATATGTGATGTACGTGTCTATTTCCCCAGATTCAGAATTTTCTTGTTGCTACCACTTAACTTCCAGTAAAAGATATCTTTTCTCTAATTACAAGAGTCTAAGTATTTCTTTCTTGGATTTTGAACGGAGCACCAGCTGACATTATTCTGAATCTGGCTCATATTATCATATAGTGAACTTGTGCGGACGCTAAAAAATACTGGACTAAAATCCACACGTGGTTGGAAAAAATGACAAAAAAACATGTAGATTTGAAACCAGAGAGATTTTTATTGGGAATTTTACCTGAAATATATAGTAAAGACTTGAAATACCTGATTGTAAATGTATTAACAGCGGCTAGGATTGTATTTGCTAAATGAGAAAAATGAGAAAACACCATCACAGAAAATATTAGAATGTGCTGAAATGAGTAGATTGACATTTGAAATTAGAAAACAAGACAATAAACAATTTTATAAAATTTGGGATCTATCAATGGTTAGACAATAAAATATAGTAATGAAATATGTAGATTATTAGAAAATAATAAATATATAAAGATGTATTCTTTTCTTATATCTGCAAAATGATTCTAGGATAGATTTGGGGTGATAATATGAACTGTCATAAAACAAATTAAGTAAAATATGATTATTTCGTAAAACATGAATGAATAAAAGTATAGTCAAATGATTGATTGATAATGATATTAATGTATTTAATATTTGAAAATATGAGATTATATACAATGTAATTGTAATTGAAGACTACGAAATGAAAGCACAAAACAATTTGTAAACCAACCGGCACACTGTATGTATATATATATGGAAGATGACTTGATGTTTTTATGTTTTATTTGTTTATGTTTGTTTTAAAAACCAATAAATTTTTTTTAAAAAAGCTGTGGGTGCTTCATCACTGGAGGTTTTTAAGAAGAGACTGGAAAGCCACTTGTCTCAAACTGTATAGGGTTAGGATTGGCTGGGGAATTCTGGGAGCTGAAATATCCCACTGCTACAGGTAACACAGGTGGATTACGAATAAGATAAGTGAAAAAGCAAGTTAGCTTCTACCAGCTATGAGAGAACATACTAAGTGTTGGGCTGAGTGACTTGGAAGCTTCTGGCCTATTAGACCTCAAGGCTTTTCAAACTTGTGTGCTTAAAGATAGTGGAAATCCCATCCTGTTAAAGGAAAAATCTGGGCATTCCCCCCAAACCAAGGGAGACCTCAAACAAGGTGTCACTGTTTCCTCAAAAGCCACATGTAGTCTGTCAACAAAGTTCTGGAACCAATCTCCAAATGATAAGGAACAAGGAAGTTGCTTGCTTCTTTTTTTTTTGGCTCTCTCTCCCCAGAACTTCAAAAAATAAATAAATACTCAAGATAGCTAGCCCCCATTATCATCTCAATATGTTGCCTTCCAGAAATGTTAAGATGACAC